TTAAGTAGAAAATTACTTTTAGTACTATCGCCAACAAGATAAATACTAAATACATTTGTATGCTAACAAATACACTTATAATAATTATTCTATTTAATAAAACTCTATCGTTTACCTATAAATCACCTTTGTCTCTAAAAATACATTTGATTGATAAACCTTCAGAAGCTCTCCATAAATCTCGCATTGTAAAGTCTTAAAGCTAAATCCTTTGTTAATCTTACGTTAATACTAATTTTCAGTCGTTAGTATTGTAAGATAACAGTATAATATATTTGATATTAGAAAATAAATATTTTAAATTGAAAACAAAAGAGTTTTTTTTTTAAAACTTATAGATATATGTAGAACTAACCTTTATATATTAAATATAAATAGTATAAATTATATTTTAATTTAAGCATAAATTATAGAGTTTATTTGAGTTATTTAAATCATATAATTAATTTTAACATCAATTTTTTTTTTGTAAATACATTCCTTTTGCTTTATAATTATATATCAATACAACTTTTATGAACATTATTTTTTGCAAAAGTAAGATCTAACATAATATTACTACCAACTTCATTAAAATACCAAGAATTCACATATGCTTAGTTGGATTCAAGACCAATGACAACTGAATTCTAGCAATAATTTTGTTCAAACTTATTATAATTTCTTAATAATAATATTTGAGGTGAAATTGATGAATTTGATATTTTTCTATTGATTACAAGCTTTAATAAAAAACAAAATATTGAGGTAATTGAATAAAATTTTAATTTATCATAAAAAATTAATGACTAATTAAATTGATTTTTTATTAAAAGAATCTAGATAATTTTGCTTATGATCATGTGACTATTAACAAAATGTCTTTTCAAAATTATGATATAGAAAAATATTTGGAATTTAATATAAATAATTCAAATGATTCAGACAAATCTTTTTAAAATAATAATGCTATGCAAGCTAATGGAAATATAAGTGAATATTGTGAAATTGAAAATAATAAAAGTGTACTTCTGCAACATCTAGTGAAGATTTTCATGGTGTGAGTTTAGCTGATGCATATATAGATTTGAATGATATTATCAACTTGAAAACAATCACTATGGCCAAGTAAATATGTAAAGAGTTTATGATAGCTGTAATATAACACCATCTTTCAGATGCAGCTGCTGATTTCATATTACACATTAAAAAAGTGTGATTTTATAGTTCGAGTCCATCGGTGATTTTTTTTTTACTGTTACGTATAGGTCTACTATTTAAGTGCTATTTGATCAGAATCATCTTGAATAACTTGAATATTCATATTTGACATTACATATTTACTCAAAAAAAGAAAAAAATTCACTTTATATAAACGAACCATAATTGTTATTGATTAACATAACAATTGTAAAAGAAAGAAAAAATTCAAACAAACGAACCGGTAATTATTGTTGATCAACACAAAATAAAATTGTTGATCAACATGATATTGTAACGATTTCTTAAATAACAGGTTAAATCAACTATAGCTTAACTGAGCCTTAGGACGTACTAGACCTGTTTTTAGCTAGAATATGCATGAGCTGGCATAAATTTGGTAAGTTTTCGTTTGCATAGTATTTTTGTCAAAACATTCACAGAGATTATGTAAACAGAAAACTGTTATTTATATACAAAATGAATGGAATGAAAGGCTCCTTAAATAGTCGTTTAGATAGACCTCCAACAAGGTCTTTATTTGTATTTACTGAAAAATCTGTTTTAAACCTTGTTTTAACTCTCGATTTTCGCGTTTGCAGGTATACCGACATTATGTTAGGCTGTATCGTTTTAGGCGAAGAGAACGCATTTCCTGTTGATTACGATACAAGCAAGACCGTTGGGCATCTCAAGGG